CGATTGTTTTCTTTCTAGATTCTCGTCAATCTCCGATTTTTTTTCTTTTTTTTTCCCCCATCTTCACGTCAGATCCGTGATTTTTCCCGGTGATCGATCTGATAGGATAGGGTTGGTTTTTATTTCTATACATCTTGGGAATTTTGGTGAAATCGTTTGTTTTTGTTTTCTCGATTAATCGCCGAGAAGAAATGGACGAGTTTGGTGTTCTTACGGAGCGTTATGGGATCAAGCCACAAGGCAAATCTGCTCCGATGGCTGCTTCGAAGCGCTCGGTTAACCCTAACAATGGTCAGAGCTGGAATTTTGGTGGTGTAAATTCCAAATCAACGTCGAATACCACTTGGAATAAGGAATCTGGTAATGGATATGTCGCTGACGACATTTTCTTCACGTCGAGTTCCACTACTAATAGGAATGGAGCGAATTCTAGTGGATTTAACGATTTTGATGTATTCGGTGGATTGAACAAGACATCATCTTTAAACGACAATTTGTTTGGGAATTTGGGGAAGAAAACATCTTCTTCTTCAGTGCAAGTGCAGGGTTTTGGTGCTGATGATGATGACTTGTTTGGTGTTTTGCCTGGGTCTAAAAGCTCCGTCAGTGTTAGCAATGATGATATATTTGGGTCATTCTCTTCCTCGTCCACCACAAAGCAATATCCTGCGGTGGATGATTTGTTGGGAGAGTTTGGTCCCAAATCCAAGAGCTGGAACCAGAACAGTTCCGTGGGTATGGAGAAGAATGAAACTAATTTCAATGAATTGTTACCTGGTTTTGGTGGAAGTTCTCAGACGACTATCAGGTTTGTGATCAGTTTATGAACGATTACGTTTCATTTTGGCTTTATTTCCATCAGCTTATAACTGTGGTACTATTGACTCGTGAATGGTATTTGAAATAACGTTTTGTACAGGAAAATGTTTAGTGTTATGCTGTGAAATTTTCTGGTTGATAAATTTTTGTTTTTGGTTTGATTTTTTCCAGCAACCCTACAGCATCGAGCTTTGCTGATACTGACCCTTTTGTGGTTCTAGAATCAACTACGTCTGCACCAAATTCTTCTTCGGGTCTGTTTGTGGATCCACTAGAAGAATTTGCTGCTTCAGTCAGTTCTCAGGGGAAAAAACCATCAAATACTTCACATGCTTCTACAAAACTCAAGCCTCCGCCTAAACCAACACAAAAAGCGGAAAGAGGTTAATCTCCTTCATAACCTGAAAGTATGTTGAACTAGAGCTTTCTTTTTACTGTTTCCATTGTGATCTAATTAGTCAAGGAATTATTCGCGCAGTTAAGAGTTCAGGAATGTCTTCAATAGACGAACTTGAAGACTTTGCCATGGGTACAATGCGACGTAGTGCCTCAGCTTCTGACACTGCTAGTAAATATAGAGAAGCTGAAGATGCTGGAACAAAGAAAAAACAGTTTGGTGCAGATGACCTTGACTCCTTTTTCAGCTCTGGGCCTCGGTCCAGCAGTGTACCAAAATCACGGACGACAACTGAAGTAAGAACAACTTTCGAAATATTACCAAGTTTTACAGTAAAGAAAATGTGTTCTATATGTGTTTCCTTATTCTTCTTTCTGATGCAAAGCCAAATCGCAAGCAAGCAGTCAACGTGCCAAAAAAGACGCCTCATGGGGTTTCCAGTACAAAGAAGCCTCCTGCTCCAGCAAATCTAGTAGATGACTTTTCTGCACTCTTTGGAGGTAAATGTTGTAAAAACATATCTTTTCCAGCAATTGGTTTCTCTGGGCTACCTTTCTTAGAAATGTTTCTCTCTATGCAGAGGATCCTATATTTAGAGAATTTGAGGAAATCCCAGGGGAAAGCGAAGAACGAAGAAAGGCCAGATGGGATCGTGAACAGAGAACAAAGAGCCGTGTGGTATGTGTGGTTTTCTTTTGAATCTTCTGGTGCAACCTTTGACTCTCTTTTACCTCTGCAAATTATGATGATATCTGATGACGCTAAATTCTGGTGAAAATCCATGATGAAATTTCCTTCTGCTTGAAAGTACCTCTTTGTGTTTAAAAGTTAGTTAAGTTCCCTGGAAAATGTGTTGAATTAGTTGAAACATTGATCCAACATCAGATCTTTCCTTATTTGATTCGGTGGTCTTGTTTGCCCGTCAAAATTGGCAACAGTCAAAACCAGCTGGCATACTGCAACCAATTTTTAGTTTAAATTTTGCTATCTCATCAATGTCTAGCTTGTACTTGATTGTATATTCTGATTCTTGATGATTTTACACTATTCTGTGCATTTGAAAATGTAGGCGCAAGCTGTAGCTGATATGAATAACCGTGATCATCAATCTCGGATTGAACAAGAACAGAGAACTGTAAGTTATGCTTTTCTTGAAATTACTCTTTCAAACTTCATTATCATAATGTTTATGTATGGACAATAACCTTTTTGGATTTGTTAGTCTTCAATATGATAATGCCGTTTTTTGACATTTTACATTTCCTTTCGTGATCTTGTTTTCTAAATCTACATAGAGTCTCCTTGTTGTGTGTTTAAATACCAAGATGGTTTCCTTGTTAAATTTTGCTTTTTAGAGGATTTCTGAGACTGTTGATGCGGAGATAAGGCGTTGGGCTACTGGAAAAGAAGGAAACATGCGTGCGCTGTTGTCTTCCTTGCAAATCGTGAGTTTAAAAAATTGTAAATAAATTCTGTTACATCTGTTTATCCATCTGCTCCTCCTAAGTTCCTTTTCTGTTTGAACGATGACAGGTACTCTGGCCTGGATGTGGCTGGGAGACTGTTTCTCTAACAGATTTGATCACTTCTTCAGCAGTCAAGAAAGTCTATAGAAAGGCAACACTGTATGTCCATCCCGATAAAGTTCAGCAGAAAGGAGCCACCCTTGAACAGAAGTATATTGCCGAAAAGGTTTTTGACATTTTGAAGGTATTTTCTCAGTGGATTTACATGAGCAGCTCTCTCTCTTTCTAGAATCCATCGTAGACGAAAGTTGACAGAAGAATCTTGATGGTGTAATCCCCATCAAAAATTTTAGTATCTAGACCACTCTATGTTAGTAATTTGAAGAAAACCGGTTTTGTTCCTTGTCTCATGCATATAAATCATCAAAGCTTTGCCTCAGCTTCGAGCAATTTTCCTTGTATTTGCCTGTTTAGATTCTCCTATTTGATTAACTGCATAGAAATTTGCATTAAACAGGAAGCTTGGAACAAGTTCAACAAAGAGGAGCTCTCTTAATCCCATATGCTGCGGTTCTAGTTGCCTCCCGAGTCTATCGTCTCAGGTTCGAGAACAGGTTGCGTCTAATAGAGCTTGAAACGGGACTGACTACGTCTAGCAATGGTTGATTAAGAGATAGGGACACTTGAAGAGACTTGGTACTTGTTTGTTTATGTCTGTTATATCTACACATAAGTGTCTGCGAGTTTCCTTCAGTCTTGTTTTGTTTTTATCTTCTTTTTCTCTCATTTTTTTCATTTTAACTTGTCATCATTATGTACACCAACCAAAGAAACAAAATTGGGGGATATTGTATAGCCCCAAAAACCGAATAGATTTTCTTTTATAATTATATATATCGAATGTTCTTATTATTGCTATAGCCTAGAGATGATTCATAGATGTCAATTTCATGGAATAACTGATTGCTTTTCTTGGTATCTCAATATATGGTACAAACAGAATAACAAAGATTTGCTAAGGAATAACATCTTCATATTTCAAGAACAATACAAAACATGGATCACCACC